GATAATTGTTTATGTAAAAAATGATATACATGTTTACCGTCGAACTGACCTCGAAAGTGCAAATTTGGGAGCAATATTGTTAGAACTAAAATTTAAAGATAAAAAGGCTTTACTCGGAACCTTGTATATACCTCCAAATAGTGGAAATCTGGGAAAATATTGATTATTCTCTTGATATGGCGTCCAATGATAGTATTATTATTTACATAATGACCATAGGCTATTTTAAAGAAAACTAACTAGCCCTGTCAAATCAAAAATAACATCTTTTTTAAGCCAATTTAGTGTTACTAAAATGATAGATGAACCGCACAATCAATTATCCGAATTAAAAACAAACGACTCAAGTAAACCTCCATTAATGGTTAGTAACAACTTAATATTTGATGAAATCGAAAAATCAAATGAATTCAATCAGGATTTTTCTTCCCAGTCAAATATTGATGATTTAAGTGATATGTCGCATGAAGAACTTCATAATATTAGTGATGTCATCATTATATAATTAGCAATATAGAACTTACTGTTACTGAAGTCAAAGATATATTGAAAATTGTTAATCCCACAAAAGCTTCTGGTCCAGACCTCATAAATCCCAAATTATTAAAAGAAGCATCTTCTGTGTTAAAGTATTCATTATGTTAGCTATTTAACTTATCCTTAAGTACGTCTACTTTTCCAGATCAATGAAAACGAGCAAGTGTTACCCCAGTTTATAAAAATAGTTAACGTGAAAAACTATAGACTTATTTCTTTGTTGAGTGTAGTGTCAACGTGTATGGAACGCTGTGTATATAAAAACGTTTACAATCATTTAAAAAGTAATAACATTTTAACATAAACTGTTATCACAGAAATATGTCTCGCCTTTTTGTAATTTTGATAATGCAAATGTTGAAATTAAAATAGCAATACTTTAACATGTAAGTTATGCAAATATTCAAAGTCGATGAACCATGACTGAAGATACATGGCTAAACAATCTCCATGGAATGAGATGTGCCAATGCTTATACAACTGCATACCAAATACCATTGACTTATTATCGCACGGCCGGTAAATTATCACGTTGTGATTGGTTTAACGCCGTCACGTGGTGACCCCCTATGGATCCGTAGGGGGTTAGTAAATTTCATAGGGGGTTCATGACGTCACGTCTACTGTTAATAGTGACGTCATCTATTAATGTTGTTGTGTTTAATTGTTTATTTCTCTACAAAACACAGCGGAAAAAAGTCTCGCGGGCGATAAATTCGTTATACGGTTAACTACTGACCCCCTACGGACCATAGAGGGTGAATAAAATCCATAGGAGATTCGGCCTTCTGCCTCACCCCCTATGGATTTTACTAACCCTCTATGGATCCGTAGGGGGTCAATAGCGAACCATATAACTTATATTATAAGTCGTTCCCTTTAAACAAACCTAAACACAAACATTTACTTGTAAACTATGTAAAAGTTTCAAAGTCAATGAACCATGATCAGGGGTGGGCTATATAATCTCCATGGAAACGATACTTGCAAATGCCAATAAATTTGCATACCAAATATCATTGACTTAACATTAGCAGTTCATCTTAAACTGATCTAATCACAAACTAATACATGTAAACTAAGCAAAAGTTTCAAAGTAAATAGACCATGACTGAGGGGGCGGTGCCAAATATTCTCCATGGAAATGAGATGTGCTAATGCTTTTACAACTGAACACCTATTAACATTGGCCTACCACTAATGGTTCCCCTTGAACTGACCTAATCACAAACTAATACATGTTAACTTAGCAAAATTTTCAAAGTCTATAGACCATGTCTAAGGGGGCAGAGCCAAATAATCTCCATGGAAATGAGATATGTCAATGCTTATACAACTGCATACCAAATATCATTGACCTACCACTAGTGGTTCTCCATAAATTGACCTAATCACAAACTAATACATGTAAACTATGAAAAGTTTCAAAGTCAATAGACCTTGACTGAGGGGGCGGGGCCAAATAATCTCCATGGTAACAAGATGTGCCAATGCTAATACAACTGCATACCAAATATCACTGACCTACCACTAGTGGTTCACCATGAACTAGACCTAATCACAAACTAATACATTGTTGATGCCGCCGCAGATGCCGGAAGCAGCATACCTATGTCTCGCTTTTTGACTCCGTCAAGGCGAGACAAAAAAATCAGTCAGGTTTGTGTCTGCGTGCGGTTAATCAATTAATTAATGTTTCAAATGATTTTGGGAAAGCTTTAGGTATCAGTAAAGACATTAAGCATGTTAAGGTAGTATTCTGTGACATAAGTTTTGCTTTTGATAGAGTCTGGCTGCTATTCAAACTTCAACAAATGGGCATATCGGGTTCTTTATTAAAGTGGTTTGAAAATTATCTAACAAAAAGAGTCCGGCGGATGGTAATTAACGGTACAAGTTCTGAATGGCTATCTGTAAATGCAGGCTTCCCCTAAGGACCCATTCTGGGCCCTCTTCTTTTTTTGATATTTATAAACGATATTGTCGAAGATATTCAAGCTCAAATTAAACTATTTGCAGATGACATTTCATTATATATAATGGTTGCCAATCCAACAGAAGCAGCTACAATTTTAAATAATGATTTAGATAAAACTTATAATTGGTCAAAGAAATGGCTTATGAATTTTAATGCCCAAAAGACTGAAAGTATGATAAGTTAAAAAAAAACTAATTAGACCCTGTCATCTCCATTAAATATGAATACTCAAAAGCAACAAATAGTAAGTTAACACAAACATCTAGGTGTCTTTTTTTCCAACAACGGGTCATAGAATGACCATATTGAATAATAATATAATTTCTAAATCTTACACAAAAATAAATATAATGAGGAAAATGAAAAAAGTTTTTGATAGGTTTACAATTGAAAAAAAATTACATATCATTTGTTCTCCCAATTCTCGAATATGCAGATGTCGTTTGGAACTCTCAGAATCAGAATTTGATTACTAAACTTGAAAATATCCAGCTTGATGAGGCGTGTATATATAGTCACGAGGGGTACTTAACTTACCAGTATTAATAATTTATATACGGAAATTCGATGCGAAAAATTATCTGGTAGACGATGCAATAATAGATGAATTCTTTTTCACAAAATTTTGAATAATAAAACACCAGAGTATTTAAGAGACATAATGTCTGATTCACTGGGAAGTAGACATGACCATTATAAAGGCAACAGTAGTATACCGCAGTTCAATAGTCATAAATCGATTAAGCGAAAACAAATCCGGGTTACAAACCAAAACCGAGGGAAACACATTACCGTATACAAGACAAAGAAATAATATAACATAACTCAACACACGGACCCGTTTGTATTCTAAATATTTTATCCCAGCAACAACAAGACTATAGAACACAATTAACTTAAACATAAGAAAATGTGAATCTCTACCATTATTCAAAAAACAAATTCGCACCCAAAATAGTTAGGTCCCAATATATTGCTATGTAGGACATCGTCATGGTCAAATACTTCATGCTTGCTAAAGAATGGATTCAAGTTCGTTGAATTCTCACCTATCCCTTCGTAATTTAGTAGACTCCCCAAACTGTTGTTGTGGTGATTAAAAAACAAATTCTCACTTCCTGTTATCTAGTCCCATTTACACCGATTTAAGACATGAGTTTCAGTCTTTCTGCCCAAGTTGACACAAAAACTTTGCTTTTTGGCCCAACGGTACTCTCAGATGAGCAAATAGTCATTTATTTAGGTTGGTGCAGAAATACATAATCAAAAGCAAACACTGTATACATTACAAAAATTCATGTGTTTTTGTTTTCTCTATTGTATTTTTCACCTTTTTCATATTCATATTTTTATTGCAGAGCATGCCAGTATTTATATTTATGTATTGTTCAATAAGTGTATAATTTGTGAACTAGGAGACATATTTGTAAAAGCATATTTGCATGTTTCTGAATCCTAAATATTTATTTCAATTGTATTATATCGTTATGTGATGATTTATCTGAATAAATATTGTTTAAACTAACAACAACAAAACAAAACCTATGACCATGATGACGTATAGTAAAATATAAAGGCCTTGGATAACAAAATATGGAACAATTCAAAAGAGAATACCAACGGCCGGATTTATACTAAAATAAAACGACAAAAATTATATTTATCCAATTCTTTCATAATTCAAACGTCAATTACAGATCAAGTATCGAGGTGTAGTTCATTTACCTTTAGCAAGAATTTTTTTAGCGTTAGAAAATGAAACGTGTTGGACGCAATTTAAACAGTCTTATCATTTTCTTTTTTCCGATACTGCTATTAATAAATGGAAAAAGACAACATAGTGCTTTTTCATTGACATTTATCCAGAATCGGACAGATAAATGTATTCCAAATGTCGTTTAAAGGTTTTGTTTTATGAAATTAAAATCAAATTCGCAATTTGCGTTTTTTGTTTGTTTTGTTTTGTTTTTTTGTTGTTTTTGAACTTTCAAAAAGTAAAAAAAGAAAATTAATCCATATTCGTTTTTCGTTTGTTGGTATCAAAAAGGAAAAACGAATACATGTTTAGTCTTTAATTTCTTAAAACAAAGAACAATTGGACGCAAATATGTACGGAACATCGTAATTACCATCTTGCATTTCCTCTGAAAGAAGTACTTCAGGCCCTATTGAACTTGCTGTATCGTGTGAACATTTGCTCCGTGTTGAAGACTTTATTGTGAATGTAAACGAAGAGCAGTAATGAAACAGATGCACCATTTTTCATTTCTTTTCTATAAATGAATTATTCATATATCTTTTGTCTTATCTTTAAATTTAGTTTTGACAAATAAAAATAACATTATCAATATGGTATAAACAGCATCAACTCTCAAACACACTAGAACACAAACCAAATTTACAACCACACACATGTATTTCATTGTTACGGTTGGAAATAATTCCATTCCATATAATTAAAAAAAACTTTGTTTTACTTTTAAAGGTCAAAATGACTGATGCAGGACAAACAAGATTTCTGAGGTGTAAAGTGGCCGCTTTCGATGTTTTTACAGATATAATGCGGGAATATATGGTGCAGATAGGCATTCCTCCAAAAGTAATTTTTGAAAACATAATGAAGTGCTCGTCATTAAAAAAAACTCTAAACTCGAAAGAATTTGACAAAATCCAGACTCTGGAAAAAGCGGGATTTAAAGAATTTGATATCAGCTTAATGTACAAGATTGTGAAACATCAAAAATTTGCCATGATAATTCCGGATATACCAACACGTAAGTGGGGCTCAGAACCATTAGAAGACGAAAATACAATCGGAGATAACATTATGCGCATTTATAAATGCAGAAATGACTTAGCTCATAAAATCGATACGACTATCCTGGAATCAGAATTTAAAGAATTGTTTGAAAAATATATAGACATTGGCAGAAGAGCTGACAGTCATCTATCAAAGAGTGAATATTGCTTTAGGCGTCGCATAGAAAAATACAAAACTTGTTGTATTGACAAAGACATGGAGGAAAAAATGGATGAATTGGCCCGAGAAATTGAAGATCTACTTAGTAAGTTTAACAATAAAATGTTAGCATTCTAAAACTAAAATATTACTCCGAAACATATCCTTGGCAGTTGCTTATTGATAATATGTTATGCATAAGGAGCATTGGAAAACATATTAAAATCTATTCTGATATCCTTTTTTGAAAAAAAAAATTATTGACTTTCTTTGTATAGCCATTGGGCCATAACACATTCAAAACTATTAACACGAATTAATTAATTTATTCGCTTTTCATTTTTTTTCTTTTCTATAAATGAATTGTCCATAAAAGCTCTGTCTTATCTGATCATCTTATAGTACTTAATGTCATTATCAATACAGTATAAATACCATCAACCACACACACACACTATTACACAAACCACTAGGTGCAGTTACACACATTCTGGTCGTTGTTACGGTTGAAAATAATTCATACGATATAACTTTTGTTTTACTTTTAAAAATCTAAAATGGCAGATGCAGTATAAACACTTTTTAGGGTGTAAAGTGGTCATTTTCGATGGTTTTAGGATGTAAAGTGGTCATTTTCGATGGTTTTATCAATAGGTACATATGGTGCACATAGATATTCCTTCAAAAGCAATTTTAGAGTCTAAATGATATTTTCTAGAGAGGTGGAAAATACCAAAGTAATGTCGAAGACAAACTAACAACGTTATGGTAGAACACGAAAATTAACCAAAAGACAAACAACAGTCTTCAAAACACAACATAGAAAAGTAAAAGCTGGGCAACATTAACCCATCGAAAACCGGGGGTGATTTCAGGTACTCCTGATGGGTAGGCAGATCCTGTTAAACACGTGGAACCTGTTGTGTTGCTCATGCAAGTGTAAATTCGGTGATAAGCCTAATATCGTTGATGCCATATTCGAGGAAAAGAGGATGGGATGGATACGCAATATAAGACTTCATGCATCATGCCGTTATCTTCCAGGAATCTTTAATTCATAAATCATAGCAGACGTTTTATGGTGGTATGGAATCCCACTATTGTTCAATGATGAATACATTAATAGCATGAATAGCTTTGGTTTTTGATTAATCGCCTTAAAACTTCCATAAAAAACGTTATATTTTTCCTTAAAAGAACAAATTCCACAAAAATATTTGTATTTTATTTGCGTTTTTAGAGTGTCAAAAGTTTTACAGATCACGTTGTAACGCATTAACAGACAAAAAGTTTCAAATGTGATTGAATGCCTGCAAAAGAAAACAACGGACAAATGTCAACCAAAAAAATCACTTGTTAAAATGACAAATATTACCTAGACAGGAAGACTTAAACAACTTAAACATGTTAAACGAATGTTTATATTTTAGAGAGAAGTATGGACTTTTTATATTTAGTGGGTTTTTTTCAGTATTGGTTAGGTCAAAATCAAGACAGGGTGTTGTTGTAGTCATGGTTGCTTCAACTGGAACGCAAATTGCAATTGAACAAATACAGGCTACAGGATCATTTGAAGGTAAAATGATGTGCAAAATGCATTAACTATACGATAACAAAAGTGACATTTAAGTTATAATGCAGTAATATTTTCCAGAACCCAAGTTCTTTAAAATTGAAGATATATTTTAAGTCTAGAGGTCTGTGCAACGATACTAATAAAAGTTAATTTTAGACGAGTAAGATAAAAATATATCGTACTGACAAATATTGACTTATTCCAAAGGATCAGTGTGATTTTTAACCATCCTTTGCATTGTCGTCCGACATCCGTCGATCGTTAACTTTTCATTGTCATAGGAGTTACTGCCCTTTTTTATAATTGCATTTTTGTTTGGCTATTATGTTGAAACTTTCATGGTTAAACCTAGAATATGAAATGGTCGACAAACCAGGATCTACAAATGAGTAAACATAGCAAAAACGTCAGCCAAATCCTCCGTATAGGAGTTATTGTTGATAAATGATCACATTTACTCATTGCGATTGAGAGGTTTCAACTGCAAACACTATCAGCAAGAAAAGATCGACAAATGAGTTAACATGGCCAAAATGGCCAGCCGCCTCATTATACCAGTTTTTGTTCTTTTGGTGAATTCAAAGGGTTTGATTTTTTAGCGTCAGCTATAGTAGATAGAGGGGAACATACAGATAATAAGCAGTGCAAGATTTACTAACTAACAAACAAAACCAAATAGGAAATCGACTCCCTATAGAAGTGATTGTCCTTTAATGATGATTTCTACCACTTTTTTATTCATAAAACAATAGTATTTAAAAAAAACCAGCAAAAAAGTCAACAAAAAAGAATCTAAAAATAAGTCCATATGGCCGAAATCGTCAGTCGACTCTACATTATTGTCCTTAAATGATGATGTTTTACGGGTTTTTTAGCTTTTTTGTTGAAAACCATGATCACACAAAACGTTAAACTTTACGCAGCAAAAGAAGGAGAAATACAACATTTGATAGGACGTCAACTCTATCAAAATAGATAATATCTATCTATCTTAAATAACGATACCTATTTTTTGAAAAAAAATAAAATAGTAGATGGAGTGAAACTTTAAACGATAAAAATGATCAGCAAAGCAAAATTATGTGCACTGATAAACAACAATCCCAAATGGTGTACCGAATCTGGCTAATGCGACCTATACTTGGGGTAGAACCATAGGAGGAGAAAGAAGGATGATAGTTTGGCTTATTTTCAAGTCTTAGACTATCCATTGATCGCAGAGGTTTATTGTCATTAATTACGCCTCTCATAAAATCCTATCTTAAAATACACACCATCAGTCACCATGGTCACTGTGGTATAATTTTATTGTAGAAAACTCATTGATAAATAATATGACTTACACCCCAGTTCTATTGTTATACTTCATAGTTTCTATTTCTGAAACAAGTGTAAATTGAATAGATCTATTGTAACGAAGAACAATGGATTTTGATCACAGGGTGTGACGAGCGGGGTTTCTGGACACCCCTGCTTCTACATCCCGAAAACACAGTCCATTGTTATTCATAACAATAGAAATGGATTATTTTTTTAAATAGCATGAACAAAAGAAATTACTAATAGTGTTCACTACAAGTTGTTTCAAGATATAAAAAAAAAACAACACATTTTAGGAAATTCAATTTAAATTTCCTAAAATGTGTTTTTTTTTAAATTGTTTCGCTATTTGAAATTCAAATAGCGAAAAAAGTATTAAGCATCTATTTTGAATAAAAAAAATCCTTTAAATACTCCTTTGCTTGAAGGTAAAAAGGATAAAAAGGGGGGTTCCAACCATGTTTCCCTATTCAAATGCATTGATCGTCACAAAATAGGGGGGTTCCAACCCCCAGACCCCCCCCCCCTAGATCCGCCACTGATCCCGGTCATATGTCTCTATTCTTAAGCATTGATCTTTATAAAAAAAACTTAGCTTCTAACTCCCGGACCTCCATCCCTGGATTGCCCAACAAAAAAGGGAGTTCCTAAATATTCAATCTGTATTTTTGTATGTTGAGCGTGTCCGGTCCTCGGATTTCTAATCCAGACACATCTATCATCAGTATGTCCGAATATGATTGTTTGTTTATACTTGATAATAGAGGGGGGGGGGGGGGGGGGGGTTATAAAACCGTTACATAAAAAAATACATTTATGATTACCTTCATTAAACACCTTCATTAAACTGATACAGGGAAGTACTTTGAGTTATTATATTGCCTTTATCTTCAGTCTCTTCTACAAAATCCAACGCTTGACTCAAAATGTCGTCTGTCTTACACCCGTCCATATTGACAACTGCATACAAGGAGCATGATGTTTTTTTTGTAATGAAAATGCACGAAACGGTCAACCTTGACCTGCTGATCCATATTAGCACAAGGATTTAACGGGAATATGCAAAACAGCATCTTCGACATTTGTAAAATCTACTCACTTGTCAAAGTTTGAACGAAGATACATGTAGCCAAAGTACATGAAGTAAGGTTACTAGTGGGGTTTCATGTAAAAAAAATCTTATAAATCATAGTTTGATATTGTAAATAAATAAGCTATCCATTCTTTTTCATTTCGTAATCAAGGTTAAGAAATATAAGGTTTAGCATGGGGTGTAAGTAAGTTATACACCTCGGGATATGGCGTGTCTGGATAAGAAACCCCTCCGGCCGTCAGGGTTTTTTATCCAGACACACCTATCCCTCGGTGTATAACTACTACGTAAAGAATTTCCTTAATTTTGATCGGTCAAAATAAGGGTGATACTATCTGTAACATATGAACATATCTGTCAATCAGGCCGTATAGAAAATCATTATAAACACAAAAGAAAAAAGTTAAGCACCCCCTCATGTATTGAATTATACCATTGTACTAAGAAATTCGTTGCTTTTAACAAGACCATTGTTCCATTAAAAAGATGTGATCATACAGGTGTGACCGGTAATAAAGATATTGAGGTTTCATGTACGTAAACCATGCCTCCAAAGCAATATTAAAAATTCAGTATGTCCACGCTTTGAATTTGGGAATATAAGTCCGGCTATTTGAAAAATGTATTCATTCTCTGGAAACATTGAACGCAGACGAATATCATAGGTTCCAAGATGGCAAATTATCGACATGTGGTCAACAGGACAGTTAGGCTTTAAAGCTACTAGTAGTGGACGTCAGATGGGCTATCACTTTACTGTAGTAAGCCAGCGCACTTGTGAGAAAAATTACAAACCAACTCCGTGAAAGACTTGCTTTGATCCAGTAGACCATCCGTTACATCGCAGCGTGAAGACAGGGCACTGCATCTCCTGGTTTGATGAAAGCCATTTACAACTAGTCCTGTTCTACAAAGGCAATGGTTACCTAATAGCTATATATAGACGTCTATCAACCAGAACAGTGAGGAATCAGTTGAAATCAGCAGGACTGAAGTCAATGAAAGTAGTTATTATTAACATCCCATGTTATCTGATGGACATCAACGATTGCATTTGGCAGGGTGTATAGCGCAGCGTGGTTGGAACTTGAGAACCTGGCGCAGGATCCATTGGTCGGACGAGAGCCGGTATCTGCTGCATGCAACAGATGGACGAATGAGAGTTTGGAGAGAGAAAAATACAGCACATACCCCAAAGGAACACCCAACCAACTGTTCCTTTCAGTGGAAGCTCTGTCATGAAATGGGGGTGCATCTCTTATAATTGCAAGTTGGACTTGGTGACCATAAGAGGAAACTGGTGATCAATACATCAGACTAGGCCACATCTTTCAAGGGCCATAACCGCCTACCATCAAGGTGAATCCATGACTTCTCTTTCATGGCCAGCCATGAGCACTGATTTGAATCCGATAAAGTCTATAAGTCTATATGGGAAATGTTAGGCCGTCGTCTATAGGCATTTAAAAAACCTCTAAAAAACTTACGTCAGTTGAAAGCAGCATCGCACGGAGAATGGTGACAGCTACCACAGCAGGAAATGACAGGAGGGATGAGACGCAGGGTTTAGGCCGTCACCCAAGCATGTGGTGGTTTCACTCGATATTAATTACCTTGAACCATAGTTGTCGTTAAGTGACCCAAAATTGACGTTTTCCAAGTGAAACGACAATCTTATGGGGCATCATGAACTCAGAAGGTCAATACTTAAAACGGACATACTTATTCGTTCAGTTTATCAGGGTGTAGAATGATAACGGACTTATCGGGTTTTTGTCGGCGTTTCCGCACTAATCGGGTTCGGCAACGGACTTATCGCGTTTTGTTTCCAGACAGTGTGACACAAAATGAGCCAAATAGATGAAAAGAAGTCGTTAGTGTTTATGTTTATATGATCACGGAAGGCACCGATGATCTAAGTTTGCAAAATTTTTCATTTTGCTTCGGTACCACTCTTGGCTTTTTCAAAGAGCTCAACACTAAACAGGACAACCGGCCGAACACAGCTACTAGTGGTGTGGTTTCTGTTCAAATACACAGTATATTAGAATTTGGACTTTTTGTGCTCCTTTATTTCATGCAAAATACATATTAGAACCACTTGTGTGCATTCAAAAACAAAAAATATCATATATTAAAGCTTTTTCAAAATTGCTTGGCAGCGGACTAATCGGGTTTCCCTAAAATGACGTGTTTTTTGGCAAGGAACTGTTGGGGTTTATTGAGCAAAGGACTTTTTGTGTTTTTATTGTTTAAAAAGGGTAAAAAATGATGTTTTCGTATTTTTTGTTTGTTTGGGAAATGAAAAATAAAAGATTTTAAAAACCCCATTTGACATCTTGTGCGAGAATATACAAGTCTGGAACTTATCACGGACAAGTGTTTTTTTCAATCTTGATTTTTACATTATGATAGAAAATAAAGGGACATTGAGTAAAAGTACACCGGTATGGGGTAATATCATATGCAATGCCAAACAAAACACAAATGGTCAAGGAATAAGGCTTTTATTTCTGCTCTTTCCCAGATTAACATGTGCAGGTCTATTGATGGATGTTTCGAAAAGACACATTCATTCCGGCGTAAT